TCGTACGACATAGGCGCCGTCTCCTCCTCTTCGTCTGAGTCAAAATGGCTCACGAGGGGATCGTGGGCCACCTGCGGGATGACGTTGGCCTTTTTGGATCTGTTGGAGGAAAGCAGGGAGTGTTTAACAAAATAAAAATGTGCACAATGCAGTCAACTCATAAACTGTCCAGTAGGTGGCAGCACTCACTTGCTCTTGTTGTTTTTCTTGCTCGGTGCCTTCTTCATCGGCATCACGGGGCAGGGCACACTCTTGCTCTTAGATTTTGGAGTTTTGGTCATTTTCGGGGTCTTGGGCGGCCTGACAGGTGTCACATCCTCCTCTATCCTCCGGTGCTTCTCTTTCTCAACCTTTTTCTTCTTCTTTTTGTCCTTCTTGTCTTTCTTCTTCTTGGGTTTGGCGATGGGGCCCTGGGACAGTGCGGTGAGCTGCTCATGAACAGCTTTTAGCTGAAAGATCAAAAAAATAAAAAGATAAAATGGCATCAGTGCTGCGAACAACCGGTGTGTGAACATGTGTTTACAGACATGCTGCAGTACACACCTGCTCCTGCAGCTCTGCCAGACGGTTCGCCCTCTCCTCCTCAGAGTCGGAGCTTGGGCTGCTGTCGCTTTCCTCACTCTCGCTGCTGAGCTCACTCTCAGAGGAGGATGAAGAGGATGAGGAAGACGAGGAAGAGCTCGGTGGTGCTGGAGGCTCATCTGGCATTTTAGCAATACAGAACTCAAAAACATCCTGGAGAGAGAAAATGGTTTGGTTTAAAAAAAAATGCAACTGAAAATGAGAAGTAGAAGTTTCAAATTGCGAGAATTTAAAAGTTCCAATTAATTTTTTTAATCATTGAAATAAAGAAAATCACCTGGAGTTTTCTGGCCATGGCCACCACATCGTGGTCAGGAGGGTTGTACTTGTAGCAGTTGGAGAACATCAGTCTAACATCAGCGGAGAACTGGTGCGCCTCACGGTACTCTCTGCCGTCCATCTTTCGCTAAAACAACAAAAGAAAAGATTTTAGATAAACAGTCTCTGAACTTCAGTTTCAGAAGTGATAAATTCAGTCTGTGGAATGAATGCGTACCTTGATGGTGCTGAGGTCCATGGGCTGTTTAATGATGTCGTGGTAGTCGTGAAGACCGAGCGACGAGGCATCGACAGGCTTGTAAAACGGCCAGGCGTACGCGGCGTGCTTCTTCGACAGCAGCTCCTTCAGGACGCCGCTGCAGTAACGCATCTGAGGGCTCAGCTTGCTGCGGCGCACCGGCGGCGGCAGGATAGAATCTGGTAAGTCCTTCTTAGGAGGTTTGATGGGTCGTCCGCTCACTCCCCTCCTGTTCCCTCCTGCTCCTTTGGTGCC